AAAATTCTATTTTAATTGAGTGTCCTACATTTTCTTTGGCAACTCTAGAAATTTATTTACAGAAAACATGTACCAGATTGCTTACTGTAGCATTGTTTGTAATATAAAAACAAATGAACAAACTGGAAACAACCACTCATTTGTTAACTTGACACTGTGAGTAAAAAAGCAAGTCACGGAAGAAATATACATAGACTGATTCCACAGTTCTAACTTCAAAGTTCTATAAAGGAAATAATTCATTTTTAAAGATTGATTAAATGTGGGACTACAATGCAGCTATGCAAGAGGAAGATGAACACGAAATTCAAGATAGCAATCACTTCTGGGAAAGGTGAAGCCTCAGACATGATAGGGAGGAGCACATAGGGTGCTTTGACGGTGCAGCTACTATATTATTTCTTTTGGACACATAAGCTTATATTTTGTCAGGACTTTTTATAATTTTTTACACTCATATTCATGTGTATGTGTCTGTGTATATGCACATATATTTGTATTCTTCTGAATGTTTGAAACAACTTTATAAGAAATGAAACATCCTATTTAATGAGAGTTCAGTACTTTTTTATTTCTGAATGAATAAATTTAATTCAAAATTACATACATATAATCCTGAATTATATGTATATACATATATCTGTATATAATTCTGAATTAAATTTATTCATTCAGAAATAAATGAAATATTATATATATTTTTCATTCATTCATTTCTGAACTAACATATGCTGGTCCCTGTTCTAGGGGGTTCATCCTACCTATTCAGAACAACATTTCTCTAATTAATCCTTCATTTGTTGCATGGATCTGGCCCATGCCTGGTATGGAGAAAATGCTTATCAGTGATAATTGGTATCATGATCACAAGTCTCTGAAGGGTAAGTAGATTGCCTTAGACAGCATAGTTAATAAATTGTGAATCCAGGATTGAACCTAGGCTAGATTCCAAAGTCCAGGTCTTTTTCCCAGTAGATTTTTACGTGTAAAGCTTTCTACTCTAAGGGACAAAAACCTCCTCAAGCGCTCCTTGTTAGTTAAGTTGAACTTTTATATTCAGTCACTAAATGTATTACATTATGGAAGGATAATAAAATAACATAGGGATAGAAAATACCAGAGTGCATTATACCTAATAAGGTTAATTACTGCTATGTTGATTCTTTTGTTTCCATATCTGTGCCTATGTGTATAATAATGCAAAATATAATTCTTACTATGGGTCATAGTAAAATATTTGCAGACCTCTAAAATGGAGAAATTATTTTTTCCTCCTCATTACACTTTTTCTAATTTGCTCCTAATTGTACTTTTAACAAGACTAAAAAATAGAAAGCCAACACAAAGAGTATGGACGTCTGACAGTTGCCCTATTAATAATTCCAATTATTAAAGGGTCCCAAACTGACTTCATTAACTCTTACAATATTCTCCGTCTTGCTGAATGGCCGCATCAGTTCACACATAGAGACTGTATTCTATCTTCCTGCATTGTCTTCACCACTAGTTGACTTTTTGGGCTGCCACAATCATTGAACCTCTTCAAATAAGCCTGTCAAAATAGGTCTCTCAGTCCCCTGTTTTTGTTTCCGTTTATCTTTTAATCATTTTAAATTGTGCCACCTCGCTATAGAAGACTGAACTTTCTGAAGGGCACATTTGATAGTGTTACTCCTCTGCTTGCAGCTTTAGAAGTTTCCTTATGTTCAAGATGAAGTTCAAACTCCTTGGCAGTACACAGAATCCTAGCCCCAGCCTGTCTCCGCCCACTTTGTAACATTTCCTTCACTCCCTCTCCAACAACTGGCCACTGTGGACTGTCTGCAGTTCCCCTAGTGTAGCATACCCACTGTCATCTCGACTACTGAGTGCCTGACCTCAAGTCTCTTGACAAGCCCAACCTAGGTTAAGATGCTCTGCACTTTTCTTTTTCACATCACATGAAGGCATTTGAATTACATTTCCCGGTTTACTCATCTCTACCATCGTTACTGGCCTGCAAGCTCCTTGAGGTCATGGACAGATGTTGGTTCACTACATCATCGCAACACCTAGCCCAGTTCCAGACTCACGGTTGATCTGGGATTTGATTGAAAAAATTTATAGGCAAATAAATTCACAATGAATTATAAAAAAATTAATTCTGAAAAGTTTTGGATCAGATCATCTGTAACTAGTTATTCAAAACTGATCTCTCATTAGGCAATTTTTGTGAATATGCACCCTTCAATGATAACAGCAGTTTTGAAACAGTGCTCAGAGGTATATAAATAAACAGTGGAATTACACAGTGGTGGGTTGTTTAATCTTTTCTGGAATCATACTGATCCTACCAGTGGATGGGGGACTTTTCCATGGTAACATTCCTCCGAACACAAAAGATCTCTGCACTCTGAAAGCAACCACTCAGGGATGCTACTCCTGCCAACTGCAAGTTCTGATGAGCTGGAACCTTGGATGGAAAACAGTGCCCATAGAACAAGTGATACCTAGTGTTCTATTTATTGATGAGATGAAAAGAAGACACAAACCGTGACTTGTATATCTCTGCATTATAATCACTGCCACAAAAGACTGGTAAACAATACCTGCTCTAAGCAAGAAACCAAATACAACAAACATGTTCTTTATTTTTAAATGATGAAACAACAGTAAAGTCAACTGACTCTGAATTTCCTTCACCCTCCTCAAAGATTCTGTGCCTCCCACTTGCATAAGAATTTACAATTTAGAAGGGTAAATATTGGATAAGTCTAACACACTTTGAAACACCCAGAATTGCTGATACTCAAGCACTAATATGAGTACAGGGAGGCAGAAAGAGATGACATGTCACTAGAAATCTATTGCCATAGCTTTAATGCTCCAGCATTAAAAAGATAGCAAAATAGGAGGCACAGTGAAGTTTATCCAGTAATTAAGGTGATTCCAAGTGCCCAGAAACCCATAAACTTAAATACATGATTTTAGACATATTCAATTTGGATGCAAACCAGGAATAAAGGTTTTTGTGATGTAGTAAATAGCTGGATTGTTCTGTCCATAATTTCTAGACTTCATCACAATATTGTGGAAATGGTTGGAAGGAATCATCACATAAAGGCTCTATGAGATGGGTTACCTCTTTGTGGGGTAAAGTCCATAAACTCTGAAAAAGAAATGAAGTAATTCATTTAACGTGTGTGTATAGAGTGCCTATTATGTGTCAGACAACGTTCTAGACTTTTCAGATATACAGTGAGCAAACAATGCTTTCAGCCCTCTGGAGCTTATATTCTAGTTATTCAAGGGGGGAAGGCAAGACAGTAAGAACATAAGAAATTAAGAGTAGATGATACAGTATAAATCAGAAAGTGATGATACTATGGCAAAAAAAAAAAAAGAATAAGGAGATGAGAGCAGGGAGATGGCCTGCTATTTTGAATATACTGGTTGAGAAGTTGCCATGGAAAACAAGAGTTAAGTGAAAAATGGACAGAGGTGAGGGAATTAGCCACGCAGATGTCTGGAAAGGAGCATTCTGAAGAGAGTAAACAGCTAGTGAATTTTCTATTTGTTGTAGGAACAACAGGGAGGCTAGAATGACCAGCATGGTAATTAATTCACTGGTTAAGCTAATGCAATGAAATCTTAGGTTTATCAAAACAGAAACTGATTTCTCCTCACATAAAGTCCAGTGGGAGAAGAGACAGTAACTCTCCCCTCACTCAGAAGCCCGGGCTGATGGTGGTTCTGTTATTGTCAACATGTGACTTTCAAGGTCACTCTGGACATTGATATCCAATAGGTGGTAGAAAAGAATAGAAAAGATTTCAAGAGGTGTTAATAGGCCAGGGTTAGGGTGGCAAACTGTCCTTGTTTTCTCAGCATTGAGGGATTCCGCCAGGATGTGGGGCTTTCAGTGTTAAAACCAGGACAGTCTGAGCAAACCAGAATGGTTGGTGACTGTAGGCTGGGCCTGGAAGTGCATCGTGATGAGCCACATGCCGTGGCCAGAAGTCAGCTACACAGTCTTACATGATACAAAGGGGCTTAGAAACTGCAATCTAACTGAGTACCAGAACAGAAGAAGCAAAGTCAGACGAGAATGGGGAACAGACTGCAAGGGACAGACCATTGGAAGGACCTTGTGTTTTATTCTGAGAAGAAATGGCAAGGAAAGGATTAATGTTTTCATTCTTGTACTTTTTAATTTGATAACACACATATCATTTTTTAAATACTAGGCAGTCAATATGAATTTATAAATATATAAGTAATTTAATCCTCTTAACCTTACACAAGTACTTTTATTTTACAGAGGAGGAAACTGAGGGACAGAGAGGCTTGCTAACTGCCCTAAATTTTTGGACGGCAGGTGATGAAGCTGGCATTCATTCCAGGTAGTTTGGATAAAGGCTTCATGCTTTTAATCATCACAAATATTGACCACCAAGATAATTTCCAGTGTTTCACAGGATCCTCAGGAATGGAAGCAATAAATGTGACTTGTCTATTATTGGCCCTTCACATCCAAGAGCAGCCTTCCCTCTTTTGTATGTGGTCCTGTCATTCCCCAAGGTGAGCCCACCCTCCCCATTGATATCTCTTTTTCAGGGGATTGATGGCCAAAATCAAGAACCATGGTGTACAGCTTGTGGTGGATGGAACAACAGAGAAAGAAGAGGAATACGATACTTTTACAACAATCACAAAGGCTTCTGCCCACTACTGACTGCCAATATCTTCTTTCTTTTCTTTCTCCTTATTTCACATCAGATTAAGTTATTTTATATAAATTTAGGGGATATAAGTGCGGTTTCGTTACATGAATATATTGTCTACTGGTGAAGTCTAGGCTTTTAGTGTAGCCATCACTCAAATACAAATTACACTGAACCCATTAAGTAATTTTTACTCTTCACCCTTCTTCCACCCTTCTGAGTCTCCAGTGATAATTATTCCACACTCTATGTCCATGTAAACACATTATTTAGCTCCCACTTACAAGTGACAGCATGTGGTATTTGACTTCCTGTTTCTGAGTTACTTCATTTAAAATAATGCCCTCCAGTTCTATCCATGTCACTGCAAAATACATGGTTTCATTATTTTTGGTGGCTGAGTAGTAGTATACACACACACACACACAAACACACACACACACCACATTTTCTTTAAATTTTCTTGCCCAACTATATGGAACTTTTGCTTTAAATTCATGTAGATTTTGCTTTATTATAATTTACTTGAATATAATTTCATAATTTAGGCTCATGCTTTCATGAATGTTTTAAATAATAGTCTCTAAATGTTGGAAAACCCTGCCATCTGCTAGCATATACTATTGGTTTGAAAACAAGGTAAAGTAAGCTCTGTTAGTATGTTGAGTAAACATTCATTCTCTCTCACAACCAAGAAGTGTTGAAGACGTTGAAAGATAAATATAATACATAGTTCATTTTCCAAATAACCTTTAAAGAATGAGATGCTCTGGAAAAAAATCATGTTGATAGCAGTGTTAAATACCAGCAGATGGAAAAAATATTTCAAAAACAAACCAGACTAGGGCAAGACAGTCAGAAACTCAATATGAGCAACAAAGAAAAAAGCATACTAGTTTTGGGATTAGGAACTGGGTAGGAAACAGATCTCCCTGGGAGCTGGTTGCAAAATGATTAGCAAGGTCAGATTATACTTCCAATCAAGTTTCCAACAGGTACATTGATGGTTTTCAGTTGATCTCTGCAAAAAAGAAAAAAAAATTCATTTAGCAATTTTTGTCATTAGATAAAAGAAGTGTGTTTATATATGGAAAATAAAGCAGGTTCATTGCTGACATAATTTTTTAAAATAAAATCATGGAAATTCACCTCTTGTAAGCTTGAATATTAATAAATATTTTGAATAGGAGTGTGGAATTGCTGAAACTTCCTTCTGAGGACTGAACTGAGTATTTAATTACTTGGATACATTGGCAGCATTGCAGGGATATCATTAGTGTGCTTTAATCTCATTCATAAATTAGGAGGAGAATGCCTTTCCAAACCTGATTAGTGAGCTATGGACTTGGCTTCATGGTGGACAGTAAATCTAATGAATATAAGAATATGCTTCCTTTTATTAGTGTATTATTACCAGAAAATAAAGGAATTAGAATAAATTAATGGAGCTTATAACATTAATGAGCTTCATGTAAAATGAAATTTATTGGTAGCTTTTAGTAACCAGGTACAAACAAATTTGCAACAGGAGTTAAACTGTGCAGCCACAATTTTCTGATTTCAGACTCATATTCTGGGGAAAAACAAGATGTTTACATAAATCTCAAAATTCTTAGTCTCCAAAATAAGAATATGTCGGATGATATATTGAGGTTGAAATAAATGATTACAATTTATATTTATATGTATTTAAAACTTTTTAAATTATTATATATTATATTATATTGCACTGCTATCTTTATATACATATATATAAACTCTGTATTATATTGCACCATTTATATAACTTAACAACATTATAATACTTATATATAATCTGTAAATAATGAAATATACATATATTTGGATCAAGTTCTCAACATTTTAAAGCTGATAAGGCATATAATCCAGAAAATGAGGAGATACTGAATGTCACATGACACCTTTCTTATCTCTATACATTGGTATCTTTAGCTACTTTGATGTGAGAATAAAATAAGTAAATCATCCCAAAAGGGGCAAGAGAGTAACAGCTAATGTAGAAACAGTCCTGCTCAATACAATGATACAAAACAGTTTTTGTGCATCAGCAGCAAGTGATCCAGGTGCTTTAGCGCACACCTTAGCCTATCTCTGATTTCAGTGGCAGCTGTGGGCACAGTTTGGTGGGAGCTCAGACACACACTGACAGTCGGCCACATCCACTCTGGCCTCAGTCTTTACTACTTTCCACACCTCGGTCTTCCCTAAAGCACTTTTCATTTAAAAAAAAAAAATGATAATCGAGGAGAGAACAATTAAATGTCATTGTCTAGCACATTTGTTTTGTTAAGGAATGGGTGTTGGCAACAATTAGGTATTTCTGGTTTAACAATGTGGGTATGAATAATTTATTTTTATTTTATGTTATTATTTTTAGAGACAAAGTTTTATTTTGTTGCCCAGGCTGACATGCAGTGGTATGATAATAGCTCACTGCATCTTTGAACTCCTGGGCTCAATCCTCCCACCTCAGCCTCCGAAATAGCCAAGACTACAGTGGCACACCGCCATGCCCAGCTATATATGTTTTTAATATGTAGAGACAGTGTCTCACTATTTTGCTTACACTGGTCTCAACCTCCTGGCCTCAAGCTATTCTCTTGACTTGGTTTCCCAATGTGCTGGGATTACAGGCGTGAGCCACTTGCCTGGGCTGGTATTAATGGTTTAAATAAGAAGCAAACATAAACTGCAGGCTCCAAATATTGTTTAAGTGAGCACACAGCACCCTTTTTTTTGAGGATTAACCAGGTAATTTCAAATTGAACTTTTAATCAAGAAGGTAACTTGTGAGTGCTATTGTTTTTTGTAAGTAAAATGCAGGAATAGACGTAAGTGGAAAACACGGTCAATTTAAGACAACACCAATAATGTATTTGGAATGAATGGTTCTTCCAGAAAATGAATCAGTTGCAAAATCCAACTAGCTGATTGTGCATGTGCACAGTGTAGCTCTTCAACATTGCTCAGCTTAGTATGGGAGCCATACTGAACTTTAAGGATGTGCCCATCTTACACAACATAATAGGCTCCTTGAAAATGACTTAATTGTGTATAAAAATGAACATCCATAGAAATATATATGATCTCCCTGATACAAACTAAAGTAAGAATTTGCATTTTGCATCAATTCTCAGCCTGTTCCAGAGAACCTAGCAGCAGTAGGACACTGACTATACTTTTGGAATCACCAACCCTGGTGATTCTAAAGCAGTAAAGAGTAACACCTCTATACTCAACTGGCTATGAGGGCTTTATAGCCTCACTCGCAGAAGAGATGATGTTGGTTGAGTCCGTCTGTCTTATTTGTTCATATTTTTCATTTTCTGTGGTTATATTTTAATCTTTCTTTTATCTTTGGCTTTTTGCATTTGCACACTGTTGAGTGGGAGACAGTACCCTCTATTTTGGAAAAACAAGGCTCCTCTTTTTTATCTTTAGTAAGCCGTGCTTCAGCTGTCTTTGTCTGTGCTGGACTTACTTTCCAAGTGCACCTCTAACTTCTGGATTGAGCTCACTGCACTTTTGTTTAGTGATACATTTTGGGTTTCACATAATACTCAGGCCTGCTAGTCTTTGAGGGATCCACCAAGAGCAGCATAGCTTTAGAATCATGATCTCACCCAGAACACATTTTTTTTGTACTTGTTAGTCAACTCGGCCATCCCTACCACTCTGATGTCCACAAAGCCAATTTCCAGTTGTTTCCAAACAAGGGCCTCAGGTCTTTGGTCCTGTTCAACCAATGTAAGGTTTGTATGTAAAGGGGAAAAATTAGGCTGTAAAAATGTAATTTTATAAAGAATTTCATTTTAACAATTTTGGTTATTACTAGTAGTAATAACTATTGATTCCAAACTTACTCTTTACTAAAATCTTTAAATGTGTTTTCTCATTTAAATTAACACAAATAATGTTATGAGATAGAAATGATTTTTGAATTTGGTAAATATAGTTTCATAAGTATTTTTAACAATTCTTAAGTTGATCATTTTCCACAGATCACATGAAACACTACTTCAATCCGCTTGTATATTTTGATATTCTAACCAATACCTTCACTTCAAAAAGTAAACGTTATAAGTATATGAACTGTAGATGGTAAGGAGATAGGTTTCTCACTGTGGAAGAGAGAGTTACACATAAGTAATAAAAGCAGAATAGAGAGAACCTCATAATACTGGATTAGAACCAGGGACATCAGTATGAACTAATATTTATCTTAATACTTCTATAAATGGATAGATACAGAAATAATGATAAAGGTGTGAGTATACATAGGTCAGTATGTATGCATAAACTGGTAGTTCTGCCAGCTCAGAGAACCTACAAGCAGTAAGCCCAGTAGCAATGAGCATCCCAGTGCCCAGGTTTTGGTTTCTAAAAAGAATTCTCCAAAAAAAGGAACCAGGGCTCCTTGGAGAAGTCTCTCATTCTAGGACTAGGACAGAGAAAGTACAAGATGATCTTGGAGCATCTTGTAGCACCCGAAATGAAAGAAGTGCTCAAAAAACAAGAGGATGGAGCACGTCAAAGGGACACAAGAGCCGTCATCAAAGAGCTCCCAATGACTAAAGCAGAAATAATTCAGGCAAAAAAGAAACAAATGATGCATTTCCAAAAGAATAAAATAAATATGAATCCATAATGGGTTTTTTTTTGTTTGTTTCGGTTTTTTTTTTTTTTTTTNAATTCTCCTGCTTCAGCCTCCTGAGTAGCTGGGATTACAGGCACATGCCACCATGCCCAGCTAATTTTTTGTAGTTTTAGTAGAGACGGGGTTTCACCATGTTGACCAGGATGGTATCGATCTCTTGACCTCGTGATCCACCTGCCTCGGCCTCCCAAAGTGCTGGGATTACAGGCGTGAGCCACCGCGCCCGGCCAAAAAATTACTTTTTAAACTTTTACATTTAACTTTTTCTTTTGCTTTTTCTGGTTATTTTCACTGTTTCTGACTCCACAGGTCATTATGGATCTGATCAACTCTACTGATTACCTGATCAATGCTTCTACTTTAGTAAGAAACAGCACTCAGTTTCTAGCCCCTGCGTCAAAAATGATTACTGCCATTACTTTGTTCATTTCAACGATAATTGGCACCATCACCAATGGCCTCTATCTATGGGTGCTAAGATACAAGATGAAACAGACTGTCAATACTCTCTTATTTTTTCATCTCATTCTCTCATATTTTATTTCAACATTGATTATACCATTTATAGCCACCTCCCAACTTCAAGACAATCACTGGCATTTTGGAACTGCCTTGTGCAAGGTCTTCAACAGCATTTTGTCTCTGGGGATGTTCACCTCTGTTTTCTTTCTTTCGGCCATCAGTCTTGATCGTTACCTGCTCACTCTTCACCCAGTGTGGTCCCAGCAGCACCGAACCCCACGTTGGGCTTCCAGCATCATTCTGGGAGTCTGGATCTCAGCAGCTGCCCTCAGCATGCCCTATTTGATTTTCAGAGAGACACATCATGACCATAAAGGAAAGGTGACTTGCCGAAATAACTATGCTGTGTCTACTAACTGGGAAAGCAAGGAGATGCAAACATTAAGGCAATGGATTCATGCAGCCTTTTACATCAGCCGCTTCTTGCTGGGCTTTCTTCTGCCTTTCTTCATCATCATCTTTTGTTATGAAAGAGTAGCCAGCAAGGTGAAAGAGAGGGGCCTGTTTAAATCCAGCAAGCCCTTCAAAGTTATGATGACTGCCATTGTCTCTTTCTTTGTGTGTTGGATGCCCTACCATATATACCAAGGCTTAATTCTCATTAAGAGCCAGTCACTACTTTTAGAGTTGACTCTGATATTTACAGTGCTAACCACTTCTTTCAATGCTATCTTTTCTCCCACACTTTACTTATTTATTGGGGAGAACTTCAAAAAGGTCTTCAGGAAGTCCATTCTTGCTCTGTTTGAGTCAACATTTAGTGAGGATTATTCTGCAGAAAGGACACAAAATCTAAATTCAGGAGCCTAAATTTAAATTCTAGATTCTTAAACAAACATGCACTCTGTCAATTATACCACTAGAGATATACCTTTTGCTTTTGTATGCTGTAGTCCCTGTATTAGAGAGATACCTAGGCTGTACTATAGTTAGATCTCTGAGTAATAAAAGGGCTGCAAGAAACCAAGCAATTTGCAAGATCATGTTGCAAATGTGATTTCTTTTTTTTTTTTTTTTTTTTTTTTTTTTTTTTTTTTTTTTTTTTTTTTTTGAGACAGAGTCTCGCTCTGTCACCCAGGCTGGAGTGCAGTGGCTCCATCTCTGCTCACTGCAATCTCCACCTCTTGGGTTCACGTGATTCTCCTGCCTCAGCCTACCAAGTTGCTAGGACTACAGATGTGTACCACCATGCCTGGCTATTTTTTTCATTTTTAGTAGAGAAGGGGTTTCACCTTGTTAGGCAGGATGGCCTTGATCTCCTGACTTTGTGATCCACCTGCCTTGGCTTCCCAAAGTGCTGGGATTATAGGTATGAGCCACCATGACTGGCCCATAGCGATTTTTTAAATGATTGAATAAATAAATGCATTGTAGAGAAATAATATATTTTCCTTAAATAATAATTCTGAAAACTATAGGTAGCTACTCTCTCCTTTTCCAGGAGGCAGATCTTAATCTCTCCCCAGCTTGAGCATGGACTGGATGAACTGGCTTCAGAAGAATAGAGTATGGAATGGAATCAGTAGTAATCTCACAGTGTAGAAATCTGGCAAACATTGTGTTAACCAAGTAATCAAAGTTAGCATTGCTATGTTATATCATGTTGATATCAAATACCTCTTCAGATACCTCAAATACTTCTGGACATAACAGAATGAGAAGGATACCTCACCTCTGATATTCTTTCTAAAAACCGATATCATAGTTTAATCGTATCAAAATGCACCTGACAAACCCAAATTGAGAGACATTCTATAAAATACCTGAGCAGTACTCCTCAAAGCTGTCAAGGTCATAAAAACAAATTGACTGAAAAACTGTCCCAGAACAGAGGAAACGAAGGAGACATGAGAACTGAATGCCATGTGGTGCCCTGGACTGGACCTGGGAACAGAAAGAGGACATTAGTGGAAAAACTAGTGAAACCAAAATAAAGTTTGGAGTTTAATTAATAGCATTGTATCATCACTGGTTGCTCAGTTTCAGCAAATAGAGCATGGTAATGTAAAATGCTTACATTAAAGGAACCTGAAGTGAAGAGTATAAGGAAAGTGTCTCAATTACCTTTGCAATTTTTCCATAAAAATATTCTAAAATAATTTTATCTTTAAAAAAAGCAAAGTGGAGAATTAGGATAGTCGTTTCTGTCAAATATCAATTTTCCACTAGAACAGTGATAAGGTCTTCAAAGTTTGCCATGATACCTGGAGGCATTACTTTCAAGTAAGATGACGAAAGTTAACCCATTTCAAATCAAATAATTTTAGAATATCTAGTATATTCAAAAAATGCTAGATCCTCTCCATTTTAATTATAGGTTTTTTTTTTCTTTTTCTTTCTTTCTTTTTTTTTTCTTTTTGCCTTCACAGAAGCTTTGAGCAGCTGAATAAAGAGTCATGGGGAAAGTGCTCTTGTTATGTATATATTCTTAATTTTCTGAGCTCTAAATGATGCCACATCCTGGTATTTAGTGGTTGCTATTGAGGAGGCATATTTGCAAATCCATCTCTCCCCATAAGGTTCTCAAAGAAATATATTTTTGGAAGTTATTAAAGCAAGTGAACATTTTGAGTGTCCCTTCCTTACCAGAGGGAATATGGCTGATTGCTATAGTGGGGAGTGCTCTCATGATCTGAGCCAGGGCAGGTGGTTTAGGCTCATGGTCCTGGGGGAGTTTCTTCCCCTCTCCAAGGCCAAGTCCAAATCTTATCCAATGGTTCCAAGTAATGAAACCATTCAAATGTGTGATATTTGTGCATTTATGTTTTATACCCAAAGTATCCCAACTTTGATAAGTAGTGATTTCAGGTCATATGAATCTCCCCTGACTTTAGGTGGTGAGTGGGTGCCTTGTAGTGGGTGGCAATAGTTACACAGCACCTTGCTTGTGCAGAAACTTTTTATCTAAGAATCTGTGGGAAGGGAAGGTCCTGAGGGTCTTGTGAAAGTTGACTCTATAACCATATGAGAGCAAGTTTGAAGAAGGGATGTTGCAACTGGTTTTTTACGTTTTCCCTATCCCAAACTTAAAAGCTGTGCTTTTATGTGCTTCTTCAACATTAAGATATTGGTTCATATGCTGATATGCTGACATTTTCATGCTTTTATTAATTAGCAATTAATGTCAAAAGTGAGGAGCAGGCATTTTGCAAAGAGACCAATTAAAGACTACATCATTGTCAAAATGTCTGAAAGCCAGAAACCCAGCAGGCAGGAAAGTCAAGGCAGGCAATGCCCCACTGAGCTATTGTTCTTGTTCAGATCCTCTACACTCTGAACACTTGTCAAGCTGCCTTGAAAATACTTGTTGATACTGGTGGAGGTAATACAATCTTAGTCAAGTTCATGAGGAAAAAATAGAAAAGCAATGCATTCAACATATATGTCTGTATTTTAGTTTCAAGCAATGCTGAAGAAGTTTCTCTAATAACTTAAAAAAATATGCTAGGTAGACACTTAGAATAACTCAAATAAATGAGATACCTATACATATACTCTACAATTTTTTATGATATTGCCTATTTCATAAATAAGGCCACAAGTTTGATTTTACATTTTTGGGATCTGTCAGACCTAAAGCTACATTTCCAGTCTAGTACTTAATAGTTGTGTGACCTGGGAAAATTTACATTCCTTTGTTTTTAACTATTTTGTGTTTTCCTGTTCAAAACATTGAGACAGTAATATCTATCACCTTGAGTCACTGTGCTGACCTGATGTTAGGCTAAATTTGTTTTATTTTATTTTATTTATTTGAGATGGAGTTTCACTCACTCTGTGGTCCAGGCTGGAGTGCAGTGGTGCCATCTCTGCTCACTGCAACCTCCGGCTCCTGGGATCCGGTGATTCTTTTGCGTCAGCCTCACTCAGATTCCCCAGTAGCTGAAACTACACGTGGTGGCTACCACACCCGGCTAATGTCTGTATTTGTAGTAGAGACGGGGTTTCACCATGTTGGCTAGACTGGTCTCGAACTTCTCAAGTGATCTGCCTGCCTTGGCCTCCCCAAGTGCTGGGATTAGAAGCGTGAGCCACCGTGCTCAGCTAGGCTGGATATTTTAAGGTATTTTTCTCCTTGTGCTTTTCCTTACCTTTTCTTCTTTCTTCCTCTGCCCTTTCCAAGTGGCTGGTTCCCTTGACTTATTCCTGTCAGGGGTTGGGGAAGGTGTGAAGCAAAAGTAGCCTGGAACTGTATCTGGATTCATCTTTTCAAAAGCAAAAGCTCATAGGAGAGAATGTACAGGCTGTGCATAGGAGGAGAAGGAAGAAAGAAATAATAGAAAAGAAAAAAACCTGGAAAACTTGGCAGAAGGATTTCCCTCAGTTTACACAAATAACCCTGTGACTGCCAGAGGGGCAGAGAGAGGTCTGTGGATTCTGAAAGCAGGATGTATTCATGCAGCTTTCTGGCTGCATCCAGAAAGAAAGCAAAACTCCAGAGAGGGCAGTGCCTACATGGTGAGTGCAAGCTGAGGAGACCGTAGAAAACCTCACAATGGCGCCTGTCCCATGTGTGGCCTGGAAGCAGCTGAGCACTGCAGGACTTGAGAAGCCCTACAGATAGGGAGGATGCACAACTCAGTGGGACCTGGGAAGATACCTTATCAGCACACGGCCGTCCTCCCACTCTTGTTTTTTCATATGATCAAAGGCAGTAGTACAACCCTGGGGTTGGTGATAAGAAAGCCAGTGAAGGACTGACACTAAGGTTCCTGCCAGCCAGCGGGATGGCCATTAAAATAAAATTTACATTGATTTATTAAAAGTGAAGATATGCTTATTACATGCTTGACTATGTGGAATGAGACTCATACCATATGTAAAACAGTGCTATCTCAAGTTGTAGAAGACGCTCAGTTCATATTAGCTATCATTATTTATCAACTAGCATTAATAACTATAAAAAGGATAATGTAAAAATCATGCACACACACACACACACACACAAACACACACACACACACACACATACAAAAAAAAACCAACAAAGGAATTTTCTTATATTTTTTTAGCTCCCAATAAAAGACTCTATTCCATGAGAGCCAAGTTTGGATATGCTGCACATATTATCTTTGAACTCACAGTTGAAACTCAGTTTTTATTGTAATATTTAACCAATTGTCAGAATGGTTGAGATATGATTTAAGGTCCTGTGGGAGGGAGAAGAGGAACAGTAGACAAATACAACTATATCATTTGGATTTAAAAGACTTACCCTTGTTTAACTGAATAATAATAGGGCCTTAACACTTTCATCCAAGGGCTTTCTGACTATTTATGTTTTGCTTTTGGTATTTCACTCCATTGACATTAGTGGTGGGAATCTTAGATGGGTAAATCACACCATTTTTGTAGATAATGATTTTAATTGGTTTGGTGAAAGAGTATTGAGTTGAGATTCAAAACCAAAGAATCTGAGTTTTGGTGATGAACTTTGAGCTCGGTTACCTAGGATGAGCATAGCAGTCAGAGCTGGGGAGGAACGCTGGAGATGCCTTGAGTTTCCAGCAATGGCTGGTGTGCATTTTAACCTATTTTTGTTGACCTTCCTCATTAATAGCTTCCTGTCTGGCATTTACCCTTTCAATCTTCAGAAGTCTTCAAATTCAGAGATATATCTGGAAAGAGTATATTATGTTACTAAAATAGCCCTGGCTTTTCATCCAGATGAAGAAGGCAATGATCATTTATTTTTCTATTCGAATTCTTCCAACATTTGCCTGGTTCTAAGATTCTGGGCTAAAAATTCTGTCTTGCATGCTAAGCATGGAAAATATGGGTAAAATGTTTAAGGAGGTAGAGGTCATCTTTGACCTTTCTCTAGCAGTTATGCCTCGTGCCGAGTCCTAATCTCCAGGGATCCAAGGGATTCAGGATGGCTTTAGTTGTTCAACTGAATCCTTCAATACAGAGTTCCACTGTATGTCTACAGTGACCATATTTGGTTTGCCTGGGACAGTCTTTCTCTGCTTGTGAAAATTTCCCTATAATACCTTCTAATTTTAATATATCTTTTGCTGTCCAAGATGGCAATTTTACTAATCTGATTAATCAGTTCATTATTATTGGTGCTAACAACAAATACTCATATCATAGATTCTAAAGATCCAAAATCCTGCCTCCATGATAATAGATGAATTTGCCTTCTCCTAAGTTAATATGTCCATAGTAGATCAAGTCTGGAGATAATGCCGTCTCTCTATGGTTCTTAACTGGGAGTTATACCCAAGGAAAGTGTAAAAACGTGGGGCAGCATTTTTGGCTAACCTGGTGAGGGGGAGATGTGCTACTGATCATTAATATCCCTGAGTCCAACGTTTCTAAATGTTCTGATAAAAATGCCGCGTTGAGAAGTACTGGAATGTCTAATACAAAGAGTGGCTCTGATAAGAACACCTCAAGTCATGTTGGATGGGATAGGATTGATGGACAAGCCAGGAGGTAAGATAAGATGGAAGCTTATAGAAAAGCCAATGAGTTTCTCTCATCTTCCTTGAATGACCATAAAATTTCAGCCCAAACCTAGGAAAGTGAAAGCAATCTTTTTACCTCTAAGTCACAGACATGAGAGGGAATCATTGCCTCTTGGTCCCCCTCAATCTAACAAAATCTTAACTTTTCGAGGTTACCCTGAGCAGATGAGTTGAAACCAACAAGGACACTGACAACTTTTAGAGTTTTCTCAGTTCCACTTGATAAATTTATTATCCTAGAAGTGGAAGAAATGTAAATGATAGAGCGTAGTGGTTAAAGCACAGGTTTTTGCCTGAGTCACAAGGGTTTAAATTCCAGATCCACCATTTGCTATGTGATCTTGTTCAATCTACTTAAATTTTGAGCCTATCTTCTCATATATAAAACAGAGGGTGAAAAAGACAAATAAT